ACTGTTTTCCAATGTTTGAACTATTTTTGCATAGACTAAAGTACAGAGCAGTGAAAATCATTAATAAGCAATTGTTCGATGGGCTGGAATGCATAAAACGCATGATCGCACCGGCAAGTCTGGTGCGCGTTGCTATTTATTACTTTTTTTTCCGAGTCCATTTTCAATACAAGCTCACTGCAAATTTTTTCAAGATGAAAAATTTTAAATCTCGCAACATTTACAACACAGAGTTACTTACTTCACGCAGTACACTATCCACTCCATCAATGTCAATTTGCGTATCCCACTTTTCCGCCTCGTCATCCATGTTCGTCTCTTCCAGCGTCCCAAGCTCACTTGACTGCAAAAAAGCGAATAACATGTTGCAAGCTCCAACGATCACAAAGTGCTGGTAAATCCGTAAACAGAAATTTAATGTGGCAAGTCAATTCTTGTTGAATGAGAACCGACAAATTATTGTTAAAGGCTACTCTATTTTTTGATATTTGCCAGTTCTGATGAGTTAATTAGCAATAATTATCTCACCAAACGCTGACACTTGCTTTATGCAGCTCAGAAATTACCAAAATAATTTCCTTACCTTCCATTCATCCCAACAAGTTCTCCTCTAGCACTTAATGGCAGTGATCGAATCCTGAGGTGGGAGTGGCGATATCGTCAGCAGTATCTCACATATCAAAAAAAAAAAAAAAACCAAGCTTGCCAGTGCGATCATGCGTTTTTGCACTAAACTCGAAGGTCGCTAATAGGAGGAATGACCCCTGCGCTGTAGCCAAACATTTGGGCTCATATTGGCCGTGCTTTGGTCTCTTCCGGCACGCAGCAGAAAGGGCGCCGGAGGAATGAAGGTGTTGCACTACAGCACAGCGTGGGCCTCCAAGTACATGACTATTAGTTTTTTGCATGAAGCCCGGTCGTTTTCTCGGTAAATGCTCGCTTTTTTTAAAAAACCCAAATTCCTAGTTCACCAAAAAGTGGAAATGTTGCTGGGAGCGGTTATTCGTCAAAAAATCCAAGTATGCAAACGAACTGAATGTTCATTTGCACATTTAGATGAGGGCGGTCATTCGTTGCAAAACGTACACGCTTCTGATTTCTCAGTAAAGCTGAGTATTTTTCATGTCCACCTGCAAGGAATTTCACTTCCAAGCAGAATTGAGATCGCACTTGAAAGTAGAATATCCCAGCGAAGTTTCAGCCTCGCATCTTATCCCGCAAGCAAAACAGCCATTTCGCTACAAATATCTCTGAAGTGTCCTAAGTCGGCGCAAGTGCAAATCGAGCTCAATTTAGGTATACGATTTCCCGTATGGGTGACCACATGCTGACGAAATTTCAGGCACTGTTTTTCGGCAAGTTTTCGAGTTAGTACAGTACCAAGCTGCAAATTTCGACGTGATCGTACGCGCTGCACAAGCGCATGCGAAAGCTGAAGTTAAAATCTTTAGCTCGCACACACACAGAGAATATTCCTGCAAAGTTTCAGCTTTGTAACTTGCCTGGTTCGCGAAATCGTTTCCCACCAAAGAAATCTGCATATTTTTCTCGGGGTCCGTGCGCGGGATCTAGGCGCATATAAGCGAAAATTTTAAAATGGGAGGATGAGACACGAGGTAGGAACATACATCCGAAATTTCAGCCTCCTAGCTTTCCTGGTTGCTGAGATGAAAGTGGGTGACAAAGTTCACTCGCTTCCGAACACACACACAGATGTGTGTCTCAATAATATGCGTTTTTGTTGGCTGTAGCAGCGCTATTGCGCCGCACAGCAAAAACCCATAAAAACTCACATATGACACCATTTCGTCGGCTTTTACAGCAAATAAGTCACTTTGCTTGCTGGTCGAACTATTGCTGATGTAAGCCTAAAAAAGTGTAAATTACAGAGTCATGCGCAGATGAAATAAGCATTGCAGAAAACCAACACAATCGTCTTCTAAAACTCACTTCCACCGAAAAGTAGGAGTATTTATAGGCAGATAAGATGATAACGCACTGCCGATAGCAAACAAATGTTAGCGAAGCAATTGAGGGCTCCTTATTCCAAAGATGAAATATTTTTCCAAAACTTTTTTGAAAGATCGGGATCGGCTACTAATTCACTGTTTCGTTCCAACCATACATTTGGCAACTTTTTTAGTTGTTTTGACTATACATTGCTTGGTCTAACCTGTTGTTCATCCGCTTTTCGAAAGGATTTATCAGTCGTAACGGTTCTTTCGACAGAAGTACTCGGTTCTCGAGATATCTCTGATGTACTGACTGTCAATAACCCTTCTCAAGTATTACCAAATCTACACAGTGATGAGGACCTTACTGACTAGGAGAAATCTGAGAATTATTTTTTTAAAAAATTTCGCAACCCTTCGAGCTTGCACGACTTTTGGTTGCATATCATTGAAGAAATCTGGTTCATTTTCAGTTGGTGAGTGCTGCTGCTGCTGCTCCGCTTTCTTTCGTCGATATTCGTCAATTTTCTCCTCCACCACATTCACAAATGGTGTGCTACTCCAGCCTTGCCACTGATCTTCGCCTGAAGGAAAGTCCGGAAAAAAAATCACAAAAGTGAGCCATCATAAAGAAATCATGCACCGTATGAGTTACTGCTGCCTTCCAAAACGTTATGAAAGTAGACATATACGTAATACAGCGAATCGCAAACAATCAAAACAAGCCTTTGGACACTCTTAAATAAAACTGGTCATACGCGTCATCTCATTTTCCTAAATTCTCAAAAACTTAAGATTCTTAAAGTCACAATATCCCAGTCTACTATTAAGGTTTTTGCATAATATATGCCTGAAACAAAACTTAAATTGCAGCGAAAACAGAAAAAAGAATAAAGGCGCTAAATTTACAGAAAGCAAAGAAGACGTTTTCAGACAAACCCATTTCCTCAAACAGTTTTTGGAAGACATTACTGGATAAAATCACATAACTAGAGTAACTAGACTGCTGTAAATTTCATATCATAAACAAAAATGATCATTTTCATTAACAATCCCTTGTTTGTTGGAATAATTTCTGACAACGTGGGTGGCCCATTCTCGATTCGTTTAGCTAGAAGCATCTGTCGAAAAAACAGTGCTACTTAGGCAAACTCTGGGGAGAACTGTGCAAAAAACGAAAGATTTTTTTCTCAAATTTTTTCACTGCGATAGAGAAAAGACTATAAAATTGACAAATATTTCAGGCAAATAAAGCACGAAACACCCAATGACTGTTTAAAGAGGTCGAGGAATTTGCCCACAAAGAAATACCCGTAGAAATACCCGCTAATACTCCTTCAGATGAGTTTTTGTGATAAGTTATTATGGGTAAGCAATCTCATACTGTACATGTGCACAATGCATAGGAATTTTTCGAGTTTCATTTTTACATTGGTACAAACCTGGCTTCTGGTACGCATGAGTATGCTGACGGTCACGTTGTGAAACAGTATATGGCAATTCTCCAATATTTTTCCGACGTTTGCAACAATAAAATATTTTGCTCAGGAAAGTGGTAAAAAATCGAAACAGCGAAAGTATGCCTTTCTTGATTACTTGCACTATGGACATCACATCATCCCAGAAATCTCGTTAACACACAGATGAACACATAGCTGAAAATAGAAAACATAAAAAGTGTGTGTAGAAAAGCCACTAGATCAGCAGATGGATCAAAAACTGACCACTATGGTCCATACAGAGAAGCTTAAAGAAATTCTCGCGTACAAACTATCCGTTTTAAAAGAGAAAATGTGTAAAAACATTAGGACTAATCAATTAATTTTAATATTTTATTAGTATTTTATATTTCATTTTAATATTTTATCAATATTTTAATATTTTATTATTAAAAGACACAAGACCAACCCCTTCCTCCCTCTCT